AAACACTGGCTGAGTAACAACAATATGAACACCACACAAGGGTAGAGTCTGAGATATAATGTTTATAGTGTTCATTTATCCTAAGTTGTTCTGTATTTTTTTATGTTTTATTTATTTGTTTTTCATTATATTTTTAAGCGGGATCCTTATTACATTGGAGTCCTTGATTTCAAATGTATATATTTCTTAAGCTAAGTTGTATATAGGTGGAATTTGCAGGTTTAGCCTCGGTCTGTGTGTGTGTGGGGGGGTGTTATGTGTTAATGTTCTATTTTGAATTGTTACGCAATGCAAAAAACAATCAATAAGTGTTAATCGGAGCCAAACGGAGGCCTACCTGCCAGCACCAGCAGCAGGGCGAGCCACAGCCAGAGCCCGCGGCTGCCTCTGGGCGCCGGGGCCAGGCTGGGGGGGGGGGCCCCCGGCTCTGCAGGCGTGGGGCTGGGGGAGGGGCTGGGGCTGTGGGACACAAGGCAGAAAACAGCACGAACATAAGGTCAAAGATGGCCGACATAAAGGAGGAGGAGGAGGAGGGTCACCGGAAACGAGAGGCCTCGTTAAAGGCGACAAACAGGACGCACAGAAAGCAGCGGGTTAGCGGAGCCGATGAGAAAAACAAGCACTTTGTAAAGCACTTTGAGTACCATTTGGGTATTGTAAAGGGCTATACAAATAAACATGATTGATTGATTGATTGATTGAGACACGCGGAAGGCAGTGAAACGGCTCAGAACCCGCAGACAGACGAGCCCATGCAGGCCCTCAGCCGTTAGCTGTTAGCCGTTAGTTTTTAGCCGTTAGTTGTTAGCTGTTAGCCATGAGCTGTTAGCCGTTAGCTGTTAGTCGTTAGCTGTTAACCTTTAGCAGTTAGTCACACTGACACATTGATCATGCAGGCCCTCAGTTGTTAGCCGTTAGCTCTTAGCCTTTAGCCATGAGCTGTTAGCCATGAGCTGTTAGCTGTTAGCCGTTAGCCGTTAGTCACACCGACACATTGATCTGAAGCCAGGAAGGAGGGAGCCCAGGGAAACGGTTTTATTGGATTCTGTTGCCCGTACAGCCAGAACGTTGTGTTAACAGGATGGATGCCACTGAGCCCTGAGAGCAAAGGAAGCCGCCCAGTTAAAAAAAAAAGGAGAGGCTCATCCCTTCTGAGCAGCTTTAAAATTAGCATTAAAACCCAGAGAAAGCTCTAAAACAGTGTTTTTCAACCCCTGGTCCTCGGTACACTAGTGTGCCGTTAGTGATGGTCAGGTGTAGAAAATCATCCTATTTCACCTC